GTTGGAGATCGGTTTGTCAAGTAGACTGCACACGCTACTGCCTCCGCCCAAAATTCCTTGGGTAGTTTCTTGCTTTTGAGCATGCTTCGTGCCATGTCGAGGATTGTTCTGTTCTTTCTTTCTGCCACACCATTTTGCTGGGGGGATCTAGGAACTGTCATTGGTCGACGAATTCCATTTGCTTCACATAACTCTTGAAACTCCCTGGAAGTAAATTCTCCACCTCGATCGGATCTCATGGCTTTGATCTTTCTACCTCTTTTTCTCTCCACTGCTACTTTGAACTTCTTGAAGACTTCAAAAACTTATGACTTCTGTTTTAAGAAATATATCCAGGTTTTTCTTGAAAAATCATCAATGAAGAGAAGAAAATAGTTACTGTTACCGAGAGAGCTTGGCTTGATCGGTCCACACACATCGGTATGGATCAAGTGGCTTCTTGGCTCTTGGCTCTGACTCCTTTGGAAAGCTTTTCCTGAATTATTTCCCGACTAGACACCCTTCACAGAGTTGGTCAGGATGGTTGATGCGAGGTAGTTCTTTCACCATCTTCTTCTTAGATAACAGCTCTAGACCTCCAAAATTGAGATACCCAAATCGAAGATGCCAAAGCCATGATGCATCTTTGTAGCAAGATTTCAGGCACTTTGCAACATCATTTTGTATGTTGATTAAGAACATTCTATTCTTTGACATCGACACTTTAGCAATGAAGTTATTCTTATCATCTTTTATAGAAAGATTATAATTATTCATATGAATATCATAACCTTTCTCTACCATTGCCCTAAACTTAAGATGTCACTTTTCATATTGGGCACATAGTAGACATTTAAAATAAATTGATGTCTCCCATCTTTCAAACGGATAAGAATGTTACATCTCCTTTTACTGCTATTGTGGAATCATCTTCAAACGAAACATTTCCGCTTACTGACTCGTCTAGCTCCACGAACATGTCTTTCCTTCCACACATGTGATTTCTTGCACCACTGTCAAGATACCAGGAATTTGCTTGGCCACCATCAGTTTCCTTTCGTTCTAGAAGAAGAGTTTCTTTTCCATCTGTCTTTTCCTTCACGTAATTGGCCTTCTCCTCAATTTTGTTGTTGGGAGCTCTACATTCTAAAGCATAATGCCCAAACTTCTGACAATTATAACATCGAACTTGAGATTTGTCATGCCTTGAGTTCAGATTGATTCTTCCACGGCCTCGTGTTGAGCTTTCTCCTTTCTCATAGTTGTTGTTAGAATTGTTGTTGTTGTAATTCCAGCCTCGTACACGACCTCGACTTCCACCTTGTCCATGACCTCTACCTCTGTCTTAGCCACGTTGGTTTCTATCATTGCATTGGCTCTCATGTATATCCTTGAGTTGCAGCTTGAGGAGTTGCTCAGTAAACTCATGCTTCTTCTTATGCTTCTCTTCGTATGCTTGTAATGATCCTTGGAGTTGCTTGATCTTCATTTCTTCCAAGTCTTTAGTTTCTTCAATCGTCACGACGATGTGCTCAAATTTGGGATCCAACGAACGGAGTATCTTCTCTATTATCCTCACATCTTCTAACTTTTCACCATTTCTTTTTAGTTGATTAGAAACAGCTACTACTCTTGAGAAATAATCTGAAATAGACTCAGATGCTTTCATGTGTAATGATTCGAATTCACCTCTTAATGTTTGGAGACAAACCTTCTTCACTTGCTCGGATCCTTTGTAAGAGGTTTGTAGCTTCTCCCATGCTTCCTTGCTAGAGCTTGCACTTGAAATCTTTTCAAAACCATCATCATCTAATGATTGATAGATGAGGTAGAGAGTCTTCTTGTCTCTCTTTCTTGAATCCTTCAAAGTTGTCTTTTGATCTGGTGTAAGAGTAACAAAAACAGCATCATCCACAATCTCGTTATAGCATTTCTCTATGATATCCCACACATCTTGTGATCCAAGAAGTGCCTTCATTTTGATACTCCAATGTCGTAGTTGTTGTTGTTGAGTGTCGGAACTTGGAATGGTACCATACCATTTGTCATATCTCTCAATATAATGAGATTTTGTAAAATCCGATTGCACGAATGAATCCGGAACGCCGAAAAAACCTTGGGAGGGACTTGGACAACTCGGTCAAGGGCTCCAACTCGGCTTAACTCGGTGAGTCAACTCGATTTTCTGGCAGCAGTCTTCCGGCGGTGCGTAGCGGTGTGTCAGAACTCAGATTGAGAAAATTCTGGCGGCGGCGGATTCCTCTCGTCGAGACCTTCGATCTTTCCAACTCTCTCTGATGCCACTTTGTTGGAAATAAAACACTCACACAAACAACTTTTATTGAAACTCAAACAAATATTACAAGAGCACTCTCACTCAAAAACAAGAACTACAACTCACTCTTATAAGACTTTGCTTCTTCACTCACTTAGAAGCTCTTAATTTTTCTTGATGCTTAAAACTAAAATGGGGAGGGGTATTTATACTACTCAAGAATAATCCTACACCACACAAATAAACTAATTTAAACCATTATAAATTCAACAAATACCTAACTCTCACCTAACTAAATTGATGTAAGCAATGACATCATTACTTAAATGATGTAAGCAATGGCATCTTTACTTAAATGATATAAGCAATGACATCAATTTAGTTTGGGTTTGAGTTTAGGCTCCCATAATGGATCAAGTTTATGATCCAACACTCTACCATTAAAGATTGAGATTTTTACCTTATTTAGGGTAAACTATACATTTAATATTTAAAATTTATTTTTATTCCATTTTGGTACCCCAAACTTTATTTATTTTTAAAACCATTCCTAACATTTAATTCAAGTTTCATTTTGGTACCCACAGTTAAAAGTTTAACGGTGATGTTGACGATAAGGTAATGTCATGTCATTATTGAAAAAAAGTTAAATTTTTAACCACGAGGTACCAAAATGAAGCATAAACTAAGCGTTAGGTATAATTTTATAAAATAAAGTCTAAGTACCAAAATGAAAAAAGTAATAGTTTAGACATCAAACGTGTAATTTACCCTATTTTCTAAAAGTGAGTAAGTTTACAGTTAACAGAAATAAAATAAAATGATTAAACAATTTTTTATTGTATCTAATTAAAACTGAGTATGTTTATAATACCATCTTAATTAAAAATTATTAATATATCATTTTTTTCAAATAATAAAATTTAACCTAAATAATTTTTCAACTTTTTATATTTTACATAACATTTAAATAAAATAATTATAAATCATAGATGAAATTTGTATTTAATAAAATTTATATTTCTTTACTACAGTGCTTATTGTAATTTTTTCTTTAATTTTTATTATTATTCTCGAGCAGACAGAATCAAAATTGAATTTGTATTTCATTTTCTTTTCTGTAGTTATAGTCTTATAGAGTTTTTTTTTTCTTTTTTACTGCTTCTGAATTTTCTTTTTAACACTTCTATATTCATCATGGGAATATTTTTGGTGCCCTTAGATTGTTTTCCGGGTGTTTTTAATTTAAATAATTTTATTTTAATAAAAAATATATGTTTTATTATTTTCTTCATCTATTATAAAATTTCATTTTTAATTAATAAAAATATATAAAAAGAAACTCAATGATTCGTGTAGGCTAAAAATAAATAAATTTAAATACTAATATTGTATAGACTACAAAAGTATACATTGCTTAGAATTTTCAATTTTAATTTGAGAGATTTACAGTGTCTTAATTAATATATATTAAAGTTGTTTGTGTTGATTTAAGGTCTTAATAATATTGGACCCTCAATACAAACCTTCAATAATCCCTGTGTTACTACTAATAAGAAAACATCTAAATCTTTACACTCTGTTAACACCAAGTCAGGTGAATATTTTATTTTAATATTTATAATTTTTAAATATGTATTTTTTATTAAATTAATCCAATAGTCATTGTGTATGAGAGCATGTCCCCCACTTCTTGTTGGGTTCCCTTTTGCCAGCTTTACATGCTACCAAAAGTGCCGACATACAAATCAATCAACGACAAAGCCTGATTCGTATGTTGCAGACACAAACATGTAATACAAATACGATACGACACGAACACGTCGATATGAAAACCGTGCAACTCGAACACATGCCGCCAAGAAACCATCAAACAAAACGAAGTCCTTCAAAGTTCATGACAACATTGAATCGATGTACGAAACAAGCATCGAAATGCTGAATCTTTATTTGGCAGTTCAATTTGCTTATCACCCTACTTCGCATGCAGCAATCTAAATTGCTCACTAGACTAGAGTTCCTTCTTCTATTATGTCCGTTCTCGTTCCGGCTCGAATAGGAGATCGTGTAGCAGGCCTTCGAACAGTTTGATCGTTTTGTCGGTCGAGGCGGCTTCTTCTTACAGTTTCCTAGAAGCTAGAGGATCGGTTACAGTATCATCCATGCCATGGAGAACAAATAAAGAAACTCTCAATCTGTTCATATTCTGTTGCAAGTAGGATGTAATTCTAAGAATTTCATGGCCGGTTCTCAACCGGAGGGGTCTGGTGCATACCAGTGGATCCGAATACTTGGCCACCAGAGCCTCCGGGTCCCTAGAAACCGGCAAGGCCATTTTATTCGTGACACTGACTTGGTATCTTGGAAATAGAAATGATACAACTGGAGCAAACACCTGTCATTAGTAGAAGGCGAGACGATCAAAGATACGAAATTATCCCGGAAGTCGGTCAGGAAAGGGATATGGCTAATAGAAGTTCTGACCACAAAAATCGGATGAGATGGGGAGGTCACATCCCTTACAGAACCCTTGTATTGTTCGAGTTTATCACAGAAGTCGTTTTAGAGATCACTTGTTTAAGGCATAAGACAGCATGCTGCAAGATGCAACATTGACATTTTTAACCAGGAAAACTCTCAAGTACTGTGGAACATTCATCAAAACAGAAATCAGAGTAGCCGCTAATGAGGAGAATATCGTCCAAAACAATACAGGCCATCCAAACAGGAAGATAGTATTTTCTTGTTTTTTTATCCAGGTCTTGCTTACTATAAACGCTTAAAAGTAAGCTTACTTATTATGAAGACCTTCAGAATGTTACTTTTTGGCACCAATGGGCTTCTCCCAATGGAAATACTCAAGCCCCTGCAACATCCAAATATAGATACATCGTTGAAGAAAATGTGTCTCTACACTAAGTTGATCATGCAGAAAGTTATATTAAAATTGATTTTACACCAGCAACAAAACTAACATAAGCAACAAAAATGCCTTTGAAGACAAAGCATTCTTCTATGTCGAGCCAGAAAATAGATTTACCTGCTAATCAAATGAGGGAGCAGCTTTGTTTTAGCAATCAAAAACTTAACAAAAAATAGTTAAGAATATCAAAGATGGTTAAAGCTTTTCCTTTACTTTTCTAGTTTTTATGTGCACATGATGTTTAACAAAATGGTAGGATTCACCTTCATTTTCTTTATTTTACTTCTCAATTCTAATTTCAAGTTCCTTTCAAAATATGTTCTTTTATGCTATATAATATTTAACATCTAACTTGAAAGGATACATCGACTTGATTGGCGAGAAAAAAGCACTACCAAGGTAAAGCGGTGGACCCTTAGTTCCTGTGGTCAAGATTCAATCCTGATAACCCCAAATATATACACAAATTTCTGAGCACATAACAAGAAAACTATGCCCTTCCACACTAATCTTCCCTTTTTCAATAATTCTCACCATGAAGATTGTTTTCATTCTACTTCTCCTGTTGCACTCCTCAAGGTCCCTATTACATGTATATGAATCTTTATGGTGATTTCCTTTCGTCATAATGGCAAGTGATGAAATGATGTTGGACAATCTTTATGGTAAGAATTATGGGGGGGGGGGGGGGAAATGTACAAACAGCTACTGGTTTACCAGAAATGGGTTAAGTCAACAGTACAATAAGATCTCTGACTTTCATTCTACTTATTCACGTGAAATAGTCATGAAAACCAAAAAGAGTGTGTACATAATTGGATTCTGGGCCAAGCAGAGTACGATACTTGAACTTACCAATCCAGTCCATTCCATAGACCTTGAATCCATTAGCAGTAAGACGCTTTGCAAAATCACTGTATCTACCACTGTTGTAAAAATCAAACCATTGTAAGAGAAAGAAACAAAAATTACAGAAGCCTGTGTTCATTCAGAACGAAAATAACTAACCTGTGTTCATTCAGGCCATGCAACACAACCACTACTCCCCTGAAAAAGACATGCAACTAACATCACCATCCAAGTGAATAACGTAACCATCCTCTGAAAATGATGCATGTTTGTCTAGAGAATAAAAGTATCATTGTTTAGATAGGAAGGTTTTCAAGTGTTTAAACATATCCTTTACATGCATTTATTGAGTGATTGAATATAAAGTTAATACACGTGTACCGTTGCCCGTTCCATGCTTGTGCAATTACATCTCTTCGACACTCATCGTGTGCATTTTTTCTTTTTGGACAAAATCTGTATATTTTCTTTTATATTTTCGGCCCCTCTTTTTCTTTTCCTTTCATTTTAGCCCAACATTTAAAAGTTCTGACTAACATCTGCCGCATTAGAAGGACTTCCTACAAAAAGCACTTTCCAAAATTCACTCCCTACGTAGTGCCTTTGCAGTACGTGGCAAGAAAGGGTGCTAAGACACTTCCTACATAATGTTCCTTCGCATTACGTTACAACAAAATGTCAATCCGAGAAATAATCTAAAATGAATATTATTTTTGTTTGGTTGGTATTTGGGTAAAAAAGCCTCAAGCATTTAACAAGAACATCAATTTCTAAAGTCAAACTAAGCATAAGGAAAACAAATTTTACACACTGAAGTCTGAACACCAGTGATGAAAACATTTTGTCCTATCAGCATTTCCTTTTTGAAAATCCAATTCAATAGGAAAGTGTCATGATCATGAGAGATACAAAAATCGAAGAAGACGGAGGAGAATTGGGGATCGAAGAGGAAGGGTTAGGGATTGTGTTTGGGGATTTTTACTTACCCTTCACGTGAGGAGGCCAGAATAAGAAGCCCAATATCAACAGTGAAAGTTGAGGTTGTCAGCCAAGGACAACAGCTGGCAAAGCCTTAGATTTGGTACCTGTAAACAAATAAATAGAGTACTTCCATAGAATGTTATCTTATGCAATCAATGAATGAAAAATTCCTTTCCTAAAATCTTGTTCTTCTCTTCTTTGTCTATCTCTTCTCTTCTTCGTCTATTTTTCTTCTCTAATCGCACTAGGGTCATAACAAATGGTATCCAAAGCCACAACTCCTGGAAAAGCAATGGTTGAATCCTCTATTTTTTCTGTGATTCAATAGTAGATTGAGTACTTGACAAAGGTGGTCAAGCAAACAGTTGATGAGTCCACCCCTCCCAAATGGTAGCAGAAGCAGGACAGTCGGTTGAGTATGTTGGAATCCAAAATGGCATCGCAGCAAAGAAATGTGAAGCACATATTACAGATTCTGACTGGTAAAAAGTGTGAGCAAAAACATGATGATTCTCAGGTGTTCGATAAGTTGCCAACATCAAAGGTAAAGAATATTGGAGACCAAACAGATCAAAGTTACGAGGGACTTTATTTTCAATATGATGAAACAGTGAGTATCGGTTATTTCAATGCCATTGAGACTATAAATAACCATGTTGAAGATGACACATGTCCCACATTTGGTAAAAGGCTTGTACAGTTGGAGGAAGTGATATATGATGAAAACAGAAGTAATGATGGTACGATGAGCGTGGATATTAAGCTGCAAACTCGGTTTGTAGGGGACCAAAAAGCGGTAACCTTCAATTTCTTTAAAATACCATGTTCATTACCTCTGTTAAAACCGTTCTAGAAGTTTGCATCACCAAGTTTCTTTGAAAATCACAAAGCTTCATTCCACCGTCAAGGATAGGAAGGTGTAGATGCGCGAGTAGAGGTCGAGAAGATAATTGGAAAGAGCGGTGGTTTTGTTGCTGTGGAGATTCTATTTACTCCTCCTGCCAAATGTATTTTGGAACTCTCGTTGGAAGAAGCCCGCCAACTCGACCATAACTATATTGGATCCGAGCATATTCTTCTTGGGTTGCTACATAAAGGTGAAGGTGTAGCAGCTCGTGTTCTTGAAAATCCAGTGGACGTCGAGGAACAAGAGCAAACCAATTCAGAGAATGCTCAGGTAAGTACTACTAACCTTCTTAAGAATGATGAAATGAAGATTCCAGAAGAGTTGGGAAAGAACATTGTCACTTATTATGATACGTGATGAAGGGCCAAGCACAAACTTGTTCCTATGGACGATAAAGGAGTAGTTTATTCATATGGTTCTAGTTTTGACCCTTGCCTTGGTCACAGTGAACAACAAATTAAACTCTACCCACAGGCAATTCAAACATTTAAGAGAAAAGTAGTTACATTCGATCCATCAAAATGTAGTAAATTGAGCATGGATGAAATGAGGGAGCTTGTATATGAGTTATCGAAGAGGACAAGTGGAGCCTCGAAAATACGACAATCATGGATCTGTAAAGAGATTTTACAGGTCCTATGTAACATCCGCAATACCGGGTTAGTGACCAAATTGTAAAGTTTCAGAATTTGGTGACTAAAGTAGAAGAATGAAAGAATTCAATGATTATTTGAATATATGTTGAAGGTTATTTGGTAATTATTAAAGGAAATTAAGGGTATTATGGTCATTTGACCAGAAAGATTTTTTATAATTTTTTTTTAAGGGTAATAAGCACGTATGAAGAAGAGTCCAGAGCATTCTTCAGTCTTCTTCTTCCTCCTCTCCACCGTGAAGCTTGGTATAAGGTAAGTGAGTCTTTAGTTGGTTAATTCTTTCGTTTTAAAGCTTGTTTTGATTCTTGGGATATTAAGAAAGATTAAGGAAAGCTTTAGGGGGCTTAAACCTCAAAGATTAACAAGTTATGAGAAATTAAGAAAAATGAGTTTTTAAGTGAATTTTTGATATGGAAGGAGTTAATAGATTGTGAAGTTGAATTTGACTTGTCAAGGATTAAATTAAGAGGTAGGAAGTGTTAGAATTGGAATTAGAACACATTGGAAATTTGGTATGATTTTTGAATCTTATATGGAAGATAGAATTTTGAGGTTTAAGATGAAATAAATGAATATAGATTGGTTTAAGTATGTGTACTAGAGTTAAGGATGAAAAGGGGATGATATATGAAGTGTTTGAGAGGAAATGAAGTAATTTTCGGGTTGAAAATATGATTTCTGGGCAAGGGGAATCGGTACCCATTCAAGGGGAACCGATACCCCTTCAAACGAACAAGAATTTCCAGTATGTCATAGGGGAACCGATACCCCCATGGGGGGGGAACCGATTCCCCCTAAAGGAAAATTGGGGATATGGATTTAATAAGTTCGTTTAAATTGATAGTATCCAATTACAAGGTGTAAGTATCTAATGATGGTCTCGAAATGTACATTTATGTAGATTCTACGCATAAAGCAATTCCGGAACGTTTAGCAAGTAAGATCGATCAAGGGAAAGATAAGAGATTGGAATTGGCTAGTGAGGCCAGGTGAGTGCATATTAGTTAGTTTATGGTGCTAAATGGAAACAAGACTTGCGACAAGTCTATTTCCTATGTTGGAATGCATGAATATATGATTATACGTATATGAATGACATGAATTGTATGTATGCATGAATATATGTGTTGACATGCTTTTGAATGTAATGTTATGAGAAGTATGTGCTATATAAGGTATATATATACATATGTGAAACTGAACTATGTGACTGCATGAGAAAGATATGAGCCATATGACTTGATATAGGTGAACATGAGAAAGCAAAGTATGAGATATAAACTATGTGATCATAGTAAATATAATTATATTTTATATGATAAGTGAAATAAACTGGATAATATTGATCTATAGGATGAAGTGAAATAGTACACCAACTAGGGGATTTGAACATAAATGATAAGATGAACGTATAAGATAAGCTAGATGGGAAAGATTCATAGGTTTAAATAAAACTATAACACATGGGTTGAATGATAGAAATTTGTGAAGTTATATGAGAAGATTATAAGAGCTATAAGAAATTGAATTAAGTAACAGATTAGATTATATATAGAAATAATAGAAGTGAGATATGTTTATAAGTCTGCCCTAGATGAATACGAAATATAAGAGTGCTATATGATTTATATTAGGATAATCTTGAGGATATATATATATAGATAGATATGAAATGAAATGAAATGAGTTATATGAATACCCAATTATGTGATGAAATGGTGAATTACCTGAACATGTGAATATATATGTTTAAGAGAAGGCATACGATTAAGATATAAGCAATGTGACTATAAGTATATGTGCTTTAAGTGATATGACTTATAAGTATTTCTATTATAATGTTACATGATATGTTATGTATGTTAAAGGAATTATGTGATGGCATAAGAATTGATAGGAAATATATATGTGAAAACAAGTATATGATACGAGACAAAACTTATGACTATAAGCTACGTGAAAGTGTTCTAGGTGTTTCGATATATTATATGAAGTATATGATTTTAGGTGAACAAGATATGATAAGTATGTTTATATGAATAAAGGTGATTGGGTGAGAAATGATAGAAATTATAGGAAAACATGACATATGTGACATGTGAATTATATGGAAATGATCTACGGGTAAGTGAACTACGTGACTATGTGATCATATGAAAAGAAGCTATGTGATACGTGATATGTGAAAGTGAATTACAAGTTTATGTGTATATTTGAAATGAAATAAATGATAACGCCCATGTTATGTGTCATGAGAGCTAGGGGTATAGTTGGCATGCCAAGAGTCGAGGGTTTATTCGGTTCTTTAGGACATATGTATATCCTTTGGAACCTGTGTGAAGTCTTGAAAGACACATACTTGATCCATAGTATATGTATATGATTCTTAAGGAATTCTACGTGGTCCTTATGGACATCATTCTACGGGCACTACGGTGCAATTCTACGGGCACTTCGGTGCAATTCTACGGGGCACTTCGGTGCATTTATACGAGCTGTGGTGACAGCATAGTGCACAACCTCTATAGACTCACATATCGATAGTTCTCACATATGTACATGGGCTAATCCAGAGATATGAACAAATATAAGTTAGTGGTATGATAAATGCTATAGAAATGATATGATGTTGTGTGTGTATAGTGTTTGATTGAAATAGTATGTG